CACATGAAAACAATCATGACGAACATGGGTACAGAATACAAAAATAACTTATTCAAAGAACTGTGTAAACTGTTGAAAATTGAGCATAAAACTTCAACACCGTATCATCATCAAACCTTGGGTACTGTAGAACGCAGTCACAGGACATTCAATGAATATATACGTTCATACATATCCAGCGACAAAGATGATTGGGACGAATACCTCAGGTATTTCGCGTATTGTTACAATACGACGCCATCAACCACACATAAATATTGTCCTTTTGAACTTATATTCGCAAAAANAATTTCGCGCATTGTTACAATACGACGCCATCAACCATACATAAATATTGTCCTTTTGAACTTATATTCGCAAAAAATCCACCAAATTACGAATTTCTAAAAGAAAATAAAATCAGCCCATTGTACAATCACGAAGCTTACGACAAAGAAGTAAAATATAGACTTCAAATAGCACAGCAAAGAGCTAGGAAATTAGTCCAAGAGGCTAAAGAAAAACAAAAAACAAATTATGACAAAAGTAGCTACAGTAAGGAAATAAACATAGGAGATTTAGTGTTAGTTAGAGAAGAGGCCTCCCATAAGCTAGAAAATAAATATAACGAGTACTAAAAGGTTAAAAGTATTGATAAGAATAACAATTTTACTTTAATACCACATAGCAGAGGAAATACCAATAAAAACAATAAAAATAAAGAAACTATAATTCATAAGAATAGACTTAAACAGTATAAAACCTTAGTAATAACAAAAAAAACAAAACCCAAACAATAAGCACTCATATTAATAAACAGGCACACGAGCCAAAGAAAACAAAATACAACATATCATGTTCAAAAAAAAAANAAAAAAAACAAAACCCAAACAATAAGCACTCATATTAATAAACAGGCACACGAGCCAAAGAAAACAAAATACAACATATCATGTTAAAAAAAAAAAAAGGCAAAGTCAGCACAATAAAGACACATGTGAAACAAATGTAAACAGATAAAGACCCACACAACAGACTCTTTATGCAATAATTGCAATAAGAGCCGAAAAGCAATTAAAATTTTGTAAACTCAAGCAAACCTTAAGTAGGTCATTAAGTCTTTCTAATAGATATATACAATTGACTGCAATCATATATGTATGTATATCTATTCTTAAGGAGGAAGGTGTAGTATTACACTAAATATCGACCGCACACAGCTAAGCCATTATGACCCAAACAAATTCTAATGAACTCAGCGGGAGTGCAACGTCATATATATATCTGCTTACAATTGTCATCATTATTACTCAAGCCGTCGCATTGACCAACTCACTTGACTAATCGACAGTGTCGGTTTGTCAACAGTCGAAATAACTATGAAGAAATATGCTGACTTTGCATACTATGTAAATGCTTGTAGTTTATAAGTATTAGTGCAAATTAGTGTAAGAAATTTTGTATAAAAAGAGAATACTTTCAAATAAAAAATCAATGCTGATTACTCGTAAAAGCTGTCTACACTTCATTTCATGGGCCACCAGCTGATTACACCTCACAATTGTAGAAAATAAGTTTGACGAATAATCTTATATATAATATTTTCATCTATTTTTCCATACCATCGATGTAATTTTTATTGAACATATCAATATAGTTCAAGGGCGACGGTGTGTTGAGTTCCAATAAGCTAATACTGAAGTTTTAAACCAAGTGTTAATGTACACGCCCTCACAAGGGTTAATGTTGTGACTCAACACAAGAGTTAACAGCGATTGTCTTTTGACATTTGTTTTGCTTTCTACTTGCTTTCGTACCACTGTATCGTAACTATAGGTTCTTTCCCGTACGAAACGCGGGAACTCGCGGGTGCCCAAAATAGCCCAGAAATCATTCCCGTACTCAACAAAATGGGTAATAGGGAACGAAAATTGGAACGTATTGGATCGTAAGTGTCTTCTTCTTCCTGCCCAAAACAGCCCGGAGTTTTTCTCCGGGTAAAAATGGATAAAGTGTCAAAGTGCATATCAGCTGTTTTGTGTTTGCATGTTTCTTGTTTCTAGTGATGTGCTGAGTCAATACTTTTAAGTATTGACCGATATTCGGTACCGATTTAAAAACTATCCAATACTCTCGATACTCGGTACCGAAACATTTAGGTATCGAATAAAAGCGCAAATAGGCCAAAAATAAGGAAAAAAACGGTTCAGGGGAGACTCGCCTATAAAAACCCGAATGTAGGAGCCAATAGAGCTTTTAATACGGATCTAAATAAAAGTTGTATATATGTCGGTTCGAGGCCATAAGGCAGTGACACTCTTACTTGTTTGAAGCATTTTTGTTCCAGCTGAATCGGACGATATCACTTTGGAGGCCTGGGGGCAGATTCTGTAATCAGTTAGCAACAATTTTCGATTCGGCATCGGTTTTGTTGACGTATGATATGAAATATTTTTACGTCAACAAGTGCGATATCGATCCGAAACTTGTCGCTAACTGGTTACAGAGTCTCCCCCCTGCAAGGCTTCTTCATCCGTAAAAGCATTTTTCTTGAACCTTGGCTCAACTAAGATTAAAGCTGTTAAAATAATATTTCTCTGTTGCGATAAGTTCAAGTGTTTTAGCCGATATCATATAAATTAGTAATTCAAGTTTTTCTAAACTTGAAATGCATATAATGGTAAAGGTTTAATGTAAAGAATCGGTATCGGGTACGGAAAAAGAAGTATTGGGTACCGAAAACTTTTTTAAGGTCTGGGTACCGAAAATTCAGCACATCACTAGCTGTCTCATAAATTCTGGGCACGAAATGTGGGTTTTTGCGCTCCCGTACTTCTGGATTATGTTCCATTTTTGAGCAAACTTTTCGCTTATTCTCTAATTACCGGATCCGGTCCGGATTGTTAGGGAAAGAACCT